GGAGAGAGGCTCTGTGAGAGTAAAGTGTCTTGCCCAAGAACACAACACAATGTCCCCGGCCAGGGCTCGAACCCGGACCGCTTGATCCGGAGACGAGCACACTAACCATGAGGCCACCGCGCCTCCCTCAGGTGTGGCTAAAGCTATATATTATTGAGGCAAAATCAGCATGTGTATAACTCAAGCAGTTTAAGGCATGGGTCAAAAACTTTTACTTCTGAGAGTAACATTATTAGTTATATATCTGAAGACATAAATGACAATGGAACCAAATTTAGCACACAATAATATTAAGGTTACAACATCCTTCATATTTAGAGGTAGATTTGGTTCTTCTGACAGGTCATGTCACATGTCATGACATTTAGCGGAAAATAACCAATATTTGACGCATTGATGAATCCAACAATGCAGGTCAATTATGTCCATCCTCTTTGTTTCAATAAAGAATATAATTTATTATCACAAAAGACATGACATCATTTTCATTTTAATGGTTAGCAGTCAATGTCAAATTTTTCCTCTAGGAGAATAAAAATGTTGTCATGCATAACTTTGCTTCTAAACACATGTACGTTTTATTGCCTATTGTTGGACTATGACTCTAAGTGGGTCTTTTTCAAAATTATGTGGCTCTTTACATTAATTAAAAAATCTGACCTACAGCAAGTTTAGAAACTAACTGAGGCACACTGAATAAGCAATTTGTTTGATGCCTTAATCAAAATCAAAGTAATTTGGAAAATGAATGAATTATAATCTTTAAGGTTCCTTTTTACAATATTTGCATGCTTGCACGAATCCTCTCAAATTCTGTTACATCAAAATGCAGTTCTTTCATTCAATTAATAATATATCAAACTATTCATGTAAATCTTCCTTGAGTTCATGACAAAAATACTTGTCCACCTTCTGTCCTTCTGTTGATTTTTATGCTTTTGTTTGAAGCTGTGTGATACACAAGGATTTTGCATGCAACATGAGATGGCTGTGTATTTACAGGTTGAAATTAAGACAACTAGAAGACAAGACAACTAGACAACTATTTCAAATTACAGTACAAGTCAGGAGTTTATGTCCACTGAACAAATAGATGCCATTATGCACTTTGCATCTTTTAGTCCTTGGCATCTCCAACACCATCTGCATTAATGGCAAACATGGCTTCAGCCTCAGGCAAACATGGCGAGTCGTAAATCTTGCAAATTCTTGTCTCCCCTCTTCCTTTCCTCAAATACAATCTGGAGAGAATGAAAAGCAGTTTAAGAATTGTTTCCACGCATAAAACCTGTTCCTTGTGGAACCCTGAGCTGGCAATCAGTAGAACCGTGACCTTAATATGCAGGTTCTGATGCTTGCCTTTTGCCCAAGCCTAGGTCTTTAATTTTCTTATTCAATTGGTGATGTCACCAAAGGGTGCAAGGTTGTGGGCTAAGAAAAATTATCAGGAGCTTAAAGGTTCCTAACTGTGAAATCCTGGGTGTCCAGCACTAAAGCTTATAATTAAGAAAAAAGTAAGTTTTTCCAGTCGCCCAAAGGCAAAAGTTAGTGACCTGTGGCACCCAGGCACCTCAGATCATGGGTACTAAAGATACCTGTGGTCAAGTGTCCATCTACATGTTTACTCTCAATTGATACCCTCGATCGACATCTGGATCGGTACTCAGTCAACATCGCGATTGATGCTCTGTCAACACTCGATCAACAGTGAGTCAATAGTTGGCTAAGTGTCGACCCACTCACATGCATCGATCAAAAATTAGTTGACTCAACCAACTGTCTACCAAGAGGTCGATAGAGTGTCGATGGAGTGTCAACTGAGGTGTCGATGAAGTGTCGCTGGAGTGTTAATTGAGTGTCAATCGAGAGTATTGATCGAGGTTATTGATCGACACTTGAGTACGGATGTCAGCACCTCTAGAGCGCAACCCTGGGGTGAATGATCAATTTTAAAATGAGGCTGACTAATGAAGCTGAGAAAATAGGCAAGGACCACCATTGACTAATTATTGAATGATTAATATTATGCCAGCTCTGTTCCTTTGGTTTAGTTATTTAGTATGTAGACCTCACATCCAGAGACCAGTAACAGGAACCCTTCACTAACAATCACCTTTCTTCAACAGCCAGCTGCATTGCACAACTATGCCTCCAGGATGGAAATTATAAATGTGTTTGAATCAAGTGGGTAAAATAGCTGTCATTGCAGTTGAACCTGCAGTCAAATATTCTTTTGTTTAGAAACGCAAACAAACAAGGTGAAAGGGTCAGTACAAAGCAGATCTAGACTTGACCCTTCCACCTTGTTTGCATGTCAAAAAACTGATAACTACGATAACAACTATTTTGGTTATTTAATGGTTGCTCTTCTGTTCAGAGTGCAATAGGTTGTGCACGTTTTTGAACAGCTGCACAGTTTTGTTTAAGACAAGTGTAAATACATGCATTCCCGCAATAAAAATAAAGTGGTCAACTTTTTAATTACTCAAAATTAACTGCGATGGAGATAAATAGTGAAATTAGGAACATGTACCTTGTTGTTGATGCATGAGCCATGATGTTTCCACCTATCGGTTTTTTGGGATCAGCTTGGAACATGGAAGCACCATCCACTTGAGCTACGACTTGGTTTGTAATGACAATAGCTACACCAAACTGAATGGAAAAGTGACCAAATTACAACCTCTATCACTATACCATCGAAGGCTTGGAAAATGTACCAGTGCCAATATTATACATGTAATTGTGTTCTTGGCCAAGGCACTTCACACTCACAGCACATATGACTCCCCTCCTAGGGGTATAATTGTAAATGGGTTACCCTTTCAAGAGTCAAACCCTGTGCAGTGGACTAGCATCCTATTGCATCATGTGTACTAAAGGCATCTGCCATCAAGTATCAGTTGATATCCTCAATCAAACCTCAATCGACATCTCAATCAACACTTGATCAGCATCTTGGTCAATACTTAGTCAACACTTGATTGACATCTCAGTAGACAGTCGGTCAAGAGTCAATTAATTTAAGCACACACTGACCATCGAGTGTTGATCAATAAATGAGTCAGTCGAAACTCAGCCAACTGTAGAGCGGGTGTCAATTGAGTATTGATCGAGATGTTGATCAAGTGTCAGTCTAGTGTCGATCAAGGATTGATTGAGATGTCAACTGAGTGTAGATCGAGATGCCAATCGAGTATCGGTCTAGTGTCAATCGAGGATTAATCAAGATGTTGATCAAGGGTCGATCAAGGGTATCGATTGACACTCGACCGCAGATGCTTTTATTAACACATGATCCATCCTATCTGGGGAGGAGAATCAGCCTTGGTGCTTCATGTTATACAAGCCAGAGATAAAACAGCTATAAAGCCTCATGAGCAACTAGGCTCAAACAGCCTAAAATGTACAATCAGACTAAAGTTTCTTGTTTGTTTGTTTCTTGATGGTTTATGGATGCTGCAGGTATTATGATAAGTATTTGACTTTGTACTCTCTGGCCTGAACAACATCTTCTCCCTTTCCCAAAGTTTGTCCTGATCTACAGGTAAGGATAAGGACAAGACACTACATGTAGTTCCCGAAGTCTGACAATTTTTTGTCATGAAGCTCTTTTCAATTGTTACACACATTCCCAGTGTATCTGCTGTACATTACTCTAAAGTTTTTCTAACCTCATCTGCAAGTTTGAGAAGAGTTCTCAGGAATCTTGCTAAGTGCATTTGGCGAGTGGCTAATTCTCCACGTCCTGAGTAGTCAGTCCGATATAAAGCTGTGGCACTGTCGACAATCATTAGAGCATATCTGAAGCAAAAGAAATAATGAATAACCAGAATGGTTAATCTTAACAACAATTTGTATTAGCCACTAGGCATTAATCTTATCTACCTTAAGTAACAGACTTTTGTTCTGGAACTATGTGCGCTCATCAACAAGCTAGCTTTCCCAGCTTTTAATTAGCAAGGCCTCTTCAAAACTAACTCAGGTCAATGTTTTCTGGTGAAATTTGATCCAATGATAAGCTCTCATCCAGCTGGATTAATAAGCCAGTAGTGACTCTTGACCACATGTACATCCCAGTTCTCTTGCTTTGGTAGACAACAACAAATTGTATAATGAATTCACGATGTTTTGCTGTAGAGCGATACATGTACCTTGACTCAGCCATCATGGCAGATGCTTGCAGTAAGAGCTGTGACTGATGGTCAGAATTGTAGGCCCTGGCATAAGCCACATTGTCAAGAACCTCTTGTCCTGCTAGCCCATATCTACATCAGTTCAAAATAAGAATTAGGGATAAAATGGACAAATATTAATTTTGTTTTACACAAAATAATGAATTATGATCTGTTGGGCAGTAGTTATTAAAGACTGTCTAAATTTTAGTCTTCAAATTCATCACCCTGGTTGCATCTTTCTCTTCTGCCAGTCTCAACAGTGAACAACAATTCATCATGATAATGTTTACAATCTTATGTTTTTTCTTGTGAATTATGACCAACCATACCTTTCAGCTACTGCCAGAAGTCTCTCTGGTCTAAATGTGCCTTCTGTGTCAATGTATAGACATTTACCTTCTGCCCCTCCATGGTCAATTGGAAGCTACAGGATGAAAGTACACAACATGACGTACTATCCATTTAAACTTACTACAGAGGCTGCATAATGTGATCAGATGGCACCGGTAGTTTAATGCCAAAGAATTATTATTTTCAGGCAGACCTACAAGTAGATGATTTCTTTAGTGTAGGGGACATAGTACTGCCTTG